TGACCCCGTAGGCTGCCAATACTGAGAGCCACTGAGTTTTTGTTTTTGGTTTGTCTCAGATGTACCCACCATACTCTATCTATCTATCTACTTTTATTTTATGTGTGTGTTTTGCCTGCCTTGATATCTGTGCACACATGTGTACCATGTGTGCCTGAAGAGGGCAGAAGAGGGCATCAGCTCTCCTGAACTGGAGTTACAGATGGTAGTGAGCCACCGTGTAGGTGCTGGGAACTGAACCTGGGACCTCTGGAAGAGCAGCCAGGGCTCTCAACCACTGAGCCATCTCTCCAGCCCCCTGTACCCACCACATTTTGAAACTGGCTGAGTGGCAAGGTTATACTAGGCTCACCACTCAAATACCTGCTTCTTGGGGGTGTGAGCTGACCTCACACTTGTGGGAGAATAGGATGGGCATTGTGTCCTTTCTTGGCACAAGAGAAGGCAGAGACAGTAGAAGGCAAAATGAGGCAGGATGGAATGGCTAGTGAATGTACAGACCCCTTCAGCCCTGTGAAGGGCTGGGAAGAGGTGGCTGTAATCCTTATAGAGCTGGTATTCTGCTTAGGAAGGTGGTTCTGGAATCCAGGAAATAATTTCATGTAAAATGGTGTTATGGGTAAGGAGAAAAGGGGTATGGGGACATAAAAACCAATGACAACCAAAAAGAAAAAAGAAAAAAAAAACTAACATACTTCTCAATTTAGAGATGCCTGAGGTTTTAATATACATGTCATTAAAATCAATTAAAAAAGCAACATTGCCTTTTAGGAGGAAGTTTCCAGTGTGAGTAATGGTTTAGGCTGCTGGTGCAGCCTGTGGGCTGGGCTGGGCTCTGGGAGCAGTGGTTGCCATGGGAACCAGCTCAGCTGCCTTTGCTGCCAAAGGGTGGCTGTTCCAAAAGTTGGTTCCTATGTGGAGGGGGCTGGAACCTCACAGCCTTTCCCATGGAAACAATGTCCTAAGTGATGGGCGACATTCCCACATAGGCCAGGAGCATCTGGCTGTAATGGAGATGAGGTGGCAGCATGACTTCAAATGAGGGCCGAGAATCATGTGCCTGAGATGGGGATGCTCTTGCTTCTGGGAGCAAAGTAAACAGGCGAGAGAGGAAATGCTTGCGCACCCTCCCTAAGCTCGGCATATTTCATGCCGTTTTATCTCATGCTCAGCACAGAGCCGAAGGCCATGAAAAGTAGCTTGCCCAAGGTTATATAGCTGGTCAACGGACAGAAACACAGCAGAGATGAGCGGCAAACTGAACACATGCCTACCTCAAGCTACCTCCTTACCCTCAAGGGGCCACCTGTGTTCCCCCAAAGTGAAGAACAAACATTCAACAATGATTTCTACTAGAAGAGCAGTGTACTGTGAATATAAGCAGTTTACCCCGTAGCTACTATTTGAGCAAACCGATTTTGCAGTGGTAACTTTTGTCATAGCCTTTGGGTGGTATTTAAGAATCTCTTTTCCTGAACCGTGCAAGACCAGCCTACTCATGACTGCTTTTCTAAAGACTTCGTTTGATCCTTTTCCCCCTGGCGGGTTAAAAATATGTCAAACACCCCCCCCCACACACACACACACATACCAGGAGAAGCCTCACAGCCAAAACCACTTCTGTATTGGGGGGACTCCCTGGATCCATTTTGTCCCGGTAGCCCCCTCTTCCATCTGGCTCACACTTACTTCAAAAGAGTCCTATCTGTGGGGTTCATCTGAACCCTTGGATACAGTCCCAGTGTCTGGCGGAGAGGGTTTCCCTGAGTCCTGTGTGTGCTGAGGCCCGGCTCCACGGCTGGCAGGTTGTCTAGCTTTTTTGGCAATGCCAATGCTTAAGCCCTGGTGCATCCTTCAGCCTTCTGTGCCAGGCTTTGCCAGGACAGAGGGCAACAAAGGCAGCTCAATGCCCTTGGGTGCATAATAAGTGTGTAGAAGATTCCAAGTGTGATGGTGGCCTCTGCATGGGGACCATTGGGCTCAAAGTACAAGTTGGAGGCTGTGTCTCCCCTGGGAAGTGTCCCCCGGGGCCTGGGCATGCTATAGTTGTTTGTGTCTCCTCTGCATACTGCCATTCTGTATACACTGGGCGTTTTATGACTCTAGCGAGCACCAGGAGAGCACAGGCTAGCTGGGGGTGAGAGCTGGGTGGGGCTGCTGCCCACGTGCGGCTGGAGAGGTTACTGGGGGCTGCTGCGGATAAGTCACGGTTAAGTGCTCAGTAAAGCAGCCTGGAATGACACAGTGTGACCCTGTTTCACTGAGTCCTAGTTAGAAGGAAACTCCCAAGAGAAAAGGAACCGTGACCTGATGTGGTTCCTCGGCAACCTCAATCCCTGAGATCAGAGCACGGTAAAAAGGAGGGGGCCCCCGCCACTGACCACTTCCCGCCAGCTGCCTGAGCAAGGAGAGGCTGTTTATAGCAAGTCCACAGGTGATCCTGCTGTGGGTGGTCTGAACGCTGAATCAAAGGTCAAATTCGTGCCCTCTGTTGCTAACATGTATCTTAATCTTACCTTGCGCTCTTCCTAATCCTTTTTCATCTGCTAAGTGGAGCTTGCTCACGTGGCTTCCGGGGGAGAATGGAAAAGTGTCTCTTTCACCAGCAAACACTTGCGCTCTGGCCCAGTATCGTTGTCCACCGGGAAGAGGCCAGCAGTGGCACCAGGCTCAGCTGGCCTGAGAGGCAGAGACAAGGATGTTTGTCCTTCCTGCCTGCCCCTGTTTCTGTGGTCCTGCAGCCCCTGTATGGGGTGGCTCTGCCTATGGAAACTGTAGCTCATCCCCATCGTTGATTCTGGAGCTGCAGCTACTGCCAGCTCCACCCTGAAGTGCTTAAATGAAAGTGGAAAGGATATTTTCAGGTAGCCCAAACATTTTAATTTGTGAGGGACATCTAAATAGTGCCAAATTTTTCCAGTATGCAAGTCTATTACAGTCATCTGTTGGTGTTCAAGGTTGGGGGTAGTGGGGGTTCAAGACCCCAAATCTGTAAATTCTCAAGTCCCTTACATAAAACTTCACAACACCTTTACATATACTTCAGATCCTCTCTGCATTACTTGCATGTCCAATACAATAGATCTCTATATAAACAGTTACATCATACTGCTTAAGGAGTAATGGTCCATACATATCAGGAGAAAAAAGATCTCTTAGGCTAGCCTCCAATTTACTACCTTGAACTTCTGCCCGTCCTGCCTCTGCCTTCCCCAAAGCAGCACTGCTGTGTTTTCTCTTCATCTGTACAGAGATAGGGGCCGGCTTCTACTCCCTCAGTGCCTAGTTTCTATCCTCCTCGGGCATGGCCTGCCAGCAGGAGGTCCTGCTTTTCCTGGCGGAGCCTTCAGCGGGCAGCTTTTGTCCCTATCAGCACTCCTAATTGTTCTTTTAAAAAGATTTTTACTAATTCTTTGAGAATCACTTGTAATACATTTTGATCATATTCACCCTCTCCTCCAGCTCCTCCCAATCTACCCTCTCTACACTCACCTCCCTACTTACCCAACACTGAGACTTTCCTCCTCCACCTCTTCCTCTTCCTCCTCCTCTTCTTTTTGTCCAGTCCAATTCATGTTACCCAACTACTCTTAAGCACGGGGCCTGCCTTGGTGTGGTTAACTAACCAAAAAGCGGACTCTCCTCCTAGCAGCTATCAGATGCCAATAGCAGGCTGGAGAGGTGACCCAGTAGTTAAGAGGACCCTGTTCAATACCCAGCACCCACATGGCAGCTCACAACTGTCTGTAACTCTAGTTCCAGGGGATCTGATGTCCTCACAGAGACGTACATGAAGGCAAAACACCAGGACACATAAAATAAAAATAAGTAAATCATTCAAAAAGAGAGAGAGACACATACACATACACAAATACCAGGAGATCCTCAGCTAGCGGTGGAATTTGGTGTCCACCTCCCCCCCACTGCCTCCACACTGGGATTTTCCCGGGCTTGAGCTTGCACAGGTCCTGCGCGTGCTGTCACGACTGCTGTGAGTTCATCTGTGCAACCTTCCTATTGTGGATGGGAAAGCATGTTCCTTGAAGTCAGCCTCCACCTCTGACCCTTACAAACTGTCCCTCCCTCGCCACTGTGTGACTTTTGCTGCCAGCCTGCAGGAGATGGACGGCACTCCCGCTGTTTTGCCGCTTCCATGACCCCCACCTGCGTCACTTTCTGAGCACTCCGAGACACACTGTTTCCCAAGGCCACTTGCTCTTCATCTATCTCTTGTCACCTCTTCACAATCAGTCCTGACCTGTGAAGGCCCCACCGTTCTCCAGAACCTCGGCCCCACATTCCCAGCTCTGCCTTAGCTCCCACAGGTCTTTGCTGGGGAAGGCCAGCCTGTGCATTCTAGAATGTTTGGTGACAACTGTGGCCTCTACCCACTAGTGCCAATGATGCCCAGAAGTACCCCACCATTGCAGATATCCTTGGGCAGTCGAGAGAATGGCCTCTGGCTAAGAACCGAGAGAATGGCCTCTGGCTAAGAACCATCTCTTCAACTAGTTAGTGTCCTCGCCATAAAACCTGCTCCTTCCTTTCCTTTGTCCCAGCTTAAGTGAACGGATGAGATTTTCTTTGAATGCCGGTCTGACTTTAGCATGATAAAGTACAAGTCTGTTCGAGGAAAAGATGGCAGATTTGAGTTGCGAATGGCCTCCCACAGCACAGGCATGCTAATTCACACAGCACCTTTGTCCTCTGGGCTCAACAGCCTCAGGGTTTCTCTCAGCAGAGCGTTTCAATCGATAAGAGATGTTCTAGTTGATAAGAGATGATTAGAAAGGTGAACCCTGGCGTCTTCTATCCCTGCTCACAGCATAGAGCCCTCTTCCTTACACATACAGTTCTGGGGCAGAGGCTAGCATTTGTACCTTTATAAAAACCAAAGCCGTAAATATCTCTCCCTAATCAGGAAAGAAAACCCATGAATATCTTCCCCCAGTTCAAAAAGAAAACATCCCTCCCTCATTCCATGTGTCTTTCTTCCTTAGGTTTGACTACCAAAAAGCATGGCAACCAGCGCTGTTCCCAGTGACAACCTTCCCACGTATAAACTAGTAGTGGTGGGAGATGGAGGTGTGGGCAAGAGTGCCCTCACCATCCAGTTTTTCCAGAAGATCTTTGTGCCTGACTACGACCCCACCATTGAAGACTCCTACCTGAAGCATACAGAGATTGACAATCAATGGGCCATCTTGGATGGTGAGACCTGGTTACAACCTTGCATGGGGTGGGCTGTTACGTGAGGAGGATCAGAGAAATTAGTTAGGCTTTAGTGGCCCAAACATGGTTTTCTGCTTGCTGTTATTATGGGGTGGTTGCTCTTAAGGCAGAAGGCAGCTTCCAGGGGAATTCTAGATAGAGATTACACCTTGATGGAGTGCTGAAAGACCTCAGTGGCAATGAAAGCGGACACTGGAGGAAGAGGCCAGGCTAGAATCCTGACAGCTCAGAAGTGCTATGTTGGGTGTTGCTTGCTTGAGCAGAAGTACTGATGAACAGATAGAAAAGTTTCAAGCTAGTGAAAGTGGGGAAATGGAAAATTTCTCCTTTTTTAGATTTATTAAGGAAAGCTGAGAAAGAATTACCAAGAATAGGAGGTGCTCAAAATACCTAAAAATTATTTCTTAATAACCAGAGTTTATTTAGGAAGCGTCCCTTTGTTGGGAGATCTTACGTCTGGCATTGTCTTCTACTCTGGTCAAAATTAGTGTTTCTTAAAGTATGGTGGTCAAGGAACTTACTAGAAAAGTGAATTCCCAGCCCCCTTCTTATTCTTAAACTCTGAGGATGGAGGGCAATGTCTTGTGTTTAGCACTGTGTAGGGACTACGGGAGCCAGAGGCCCCTGCTCTAGATTCCCAGTGGACGTGGTTTCCTGCTGCCCAAGTCCCTTTCCTGAACAAAGGCCCGTTAATCATAGGATGCTGGTCTAAGAGGAGAGCCATTGGCTTACAAGGTTCTTTCAGGTAAATGTCGTTTGCAAATATTTTTCTCGGTCTGTATCTTGTTTTCCATTCTCATAACAGTTTCTTTCAAAGACTAGACGGTTCTGTTTTGACAATGTCTAGTTTATGAGTTCTTTTACAGAGTGTGCTTTCGGTATTTTGTCTGAAAAGTCTTTGCTTAACCAAGGTCACAGCAGTGTTTCTCATGGTTTCTTTTGGAAGTTTAATTGTTTGGGGGTTTTCATTTAGGTTTTGATCTATTCTATATACTTCGTGTGTGAGTTTCTCGTTGAAGAGATTCTTCCTTCCAACTCCCAGTTGCCTTTGACCCTCTAGTGACAACCAATTCCCCGTGAAATTTGTGTTTGATCTGGATGACTGATTTAAGACAAATTACTACTGCCTTAACAGTTGTAACATTATAACAAACCCGGTAGTCACGAGAATGGATGTGCAAATTATAGATTCAGTTAAAATTTCTGATTTTGTTTGGGGTAGTGTTGAATTCGTATGCAATCTGAAGGAATTTTTGTAGTGTTCAGTACCGAACCTGGGACCTTAACACACGCTGGGGAAGTGACATAGCCCTGAACCACATCCTCAGTCTTGAGAGCTGATGTCTCAGCTGACAAGGCTGAGCCTTTCACTCTGTGAACACACTCCATTTATTTAGGCCTTCCTTGATCTTCCAATTGTTCTGTGCTTTCAAATACATAGGTCTTTTATGTACCCTTTGTCAGGGATATACTTATAACTGCATTGATGTCATAATAAATGTTTTTTCTTTAATTTCAGCCTCAGTTGTTTGCTGCTAGAATATAGAAATTAAAAAAAAATAATTTATTTTTATTTTATGTACATTGGTGGGTTTTTTTTTTAGAATATATGAATTTAAATGACTTCTAATTAATTTAAAAATTAGTTTAAGATAGCTTATGAAGTAATCGGTTTCATTTTGGCATTTTTTTTTACATATACGTCCAGTATGCTTTACTGTAATCCATCTCCCCCACACTGCGTTCCCTGTAGCTCCTGAGCCCCTCCAGTGTAACTGATTTTTATATGTTAATCATATAACCGACTGGTTATTAGCTTTAGTGGTTCTTTGTGAGACTTGTTTTTGCATAGATGATCATGCTATGGTAAAGGAAGTTTTATCCACCCCCACCCCCCAACTCTGGATGGTTTTTATTTCTTTTTCTTGCCTTCCTGAAGTGACTGGAGTCTCCAGTGCTATGCTGAGTGACACAATGAGAGCAGACATTCTTGCCTTGATCCTAAGGGGCGTGTTCAGTCTTTCAGCATTAGTCTGTTGTTAACCGTAGATTTATTTGGTGGAGATGCTCTTTAGGGTCAAGGAAGCTCCTTCCCCTGGTTTTCAGAGGGCTTCCAATCAGGAACAAATGCTGACGTGATCAAATGCCTTCTCTGGCTGAGACAGTAATATGGCTCTTCATTTTTTAGTTTATTAATTATTGAGTTTTCCCCTTTTTTTTTTTTTTTTACATTTTAATTACTTTTATTTAGTGTGTGTGTGTTTGGTGGGGGATTGGGGCATGTGCTCATATATGGAGGTCAGAGCACAGCTTGGAGAAATCCATTCTCTCCTTCCACCTTGTAGGGCCTGGAAATTGAGCTCATGTCATGAGGCTTGGTGGCAAATGCCTTTAATACACTGAACCATCTTGCTGGGCCTATTCTTAATGTGTAGCTAATTTTTTTTAATCCCTGAAATAAATAGCACATAGTTATGATGAATTGATGATGAGTTTCATATACTATTGGCTTTAGTGTGAAGTAATTCAATATAGAAATGTTTTGCTTGTGTTCTTGAGTGATATTAGATCATATTTTTATTATATTTTATTATATAACTTTAGTATGACTGTAATGCTGGCCCTCTAGAATGATTTGGAAATTAACTCTTCTTTTTCAATTTCTCTGGGAGAGTTTAATTTCGTTCTTACATGTTCAGTAGAATTCATAGGCAAGACCATCTGGACAGCAAGCTTTATGGAGAAGCTTTTAAACGATAAATTAAATGTCTGTAATAGACATAAGGGCATTGAATCACCTCTTTGTTCTTCACTGAACCTTGGTAGTTTGTGATTTTTAAGAAATTTGTTCAGCTTATCAGAGTTAGAAATTTCATTGGCATAAGGCTGTTCATAATATTCTTTTCTTATCTTTATAATACTTGTAGATTCTACAGTGATGTCATCTCTCATTCCCGATACTAGTAATGTATCTTTTTCTCCCCTGATCAGGCTTGGTTGGGTTTTATAAGTATTGATTTTCTCAAAGAGCCAGCACTTGCATCCATTGATTTTTCTCATTTACTTCCATTGATTTTCACTCATAACTCTTTCTCCTTCTTCTTTACTTACTTTGGATTCAGGTTTCTCTTGTTCCCATGTCCTTGAAGAACTGTCTTACTGTTTCACGTGTGCTAGTCTCTTCCTGGGCTATATCCTTCCACCTTAGCCTCCCAAACAAGCTGATATTGTTGATTTGAGTAAATTATTTCCTTTTCTTGGGATATTCTTTTGGCACAATAAAATTCTCTGAATTACACAAATTGTAATATGCTATGTTTTCCTTTCTTCTTCCCTCCCTTCCCTCTCTCCTCCCTCTCCAAGATAGGGTGTCACTATGTAGCTCTAGCTGTCCTGGAACTTGCCATGAAAACCAGGCTAGCCCCAAACTCGCAGAGATCTGCCTCCCAAGCGCTAGGTGGATTAAAGGTGTGTGCCAGTGCAGCTGGCTTGTGTTTTCTTTTCTATCCAGTTCAAATTCTAATTTCTCTTTAGATTTCTTCTCTGGCCCATAGGTTATTTAGAGGCATCTTATCTAGTTTTCAAATATTTGGGAATTTTCCAGAGATCTCTCTGTTCTTGATCTCTGATTTCAGTGTGTCAGGGAACATACAGTACATTACTTGAGGTCTTTTTCTGAGACTTGTCTCAGTGCCCGGAAGATGGGCTGTCTTCATAGATGTTCTCAGGGTTAGCCGATACTAGATGGGATGTCTGTGAGCGTCTCGCAGATCACACGGACAGATAACATCGTCCGAGTCTCCTGCATCTTCACTGGTTTCCTGGATACTTGTTCTGTTATTTAGTAAGAGGAGAGTGCCACACATCAGGGTATAACTGTAAATTTCCTTATTTTCTACTGGGATTTTGCCTGGTGCAGTTTTTTTTTTTTTTTAACACTCTTTGTTAAATGCACAGACATTTAGGACTGATACAGCCTCTTGGCAACTGGTCCTCCCATCATATTAAAATGGCTTTCATCATTCCTGACTTTCCCCTCTGTGCCCTGCACCTTGAAACTCCGAGGAGCTTGAGCTGGGTGCCTGCCCTCTGTCTCTCAGCATCACCACCCTTCACAGAAGGGACTCGTGCTATGCTATGAGAAACACATCTCACGTGGAACACGCCAGCCTGTGGGGCCTTGTCTGCAGCGTGAAATTTCGATCAGTTTCACTGGGTGACAGGGAGACAGGTGTGTCCCTGCTTGAGAATTTGCATGCTCTTCCTGCAGAAATGATAAGCTTTTGTACTTTTTTTTTTTTTTTAAAGCAGGTCTTGTGTATGGCATGCTGGCTTTGAACCTGTTGTTCAGCTGAGGTTGAACTTGACTTTCTGATCCTCCTGCCTCTGCCTCCTGAGTTCTGGGATTGGAGGTATATGTCAGGCCTTCTGACGTGGTAGGCAAGCACTTTACCAACTGAGACACACTCACAGCCTATTCAATGACACTTTATTGGTGAGGGCTTCCATGACCAAGACGTCTACACTAGTATTCACCCCCACCCCTGCTCTTTCTGTGAACAAACATTTTTAATAAATAAACGGATTATCAAATCCTGACCAATGTATATGCAGTAACAGGTTTGATAGGTTCTCTACATTATCTTGTTTTTCTAATTCTTAGTGAAAACATGTGCCCTCACAGCTGTTAAAAATTTACATTTTTACTTCGTGCCTGCCTATGTGGTCACGCCTTAGCTGTGGCACACATGTGGAGGACAGAGGGTAGCTTGTAGGAGTCGGTTCTTTCCTTCCACTGTGTGGGCCTAGAGATTCCTGAGGTCATCAGGACTGGAGGCACATGCCTTTACCATTCAGCCATATCACTGACACCATTTATACACTTTCTACACTTCCTTTGCTGTTGTTGTTCTGTTGCCTTTTGTTCTTTTTCTTTTTTTTTTTTTTTCAATGAGGTCTCACCATATGGCCTTGGCTAG